GTGGAACAAGGAATACCATTGCTGATGTCAAAAGGATATCATTGCTGACTGACATTGGATCCATCTTGGCTGAAAGCAAAAATACCAGAAAGATGTTTTCTTGTACTCTACTGACTATTCAAAAGCATTAGATTGTGTGGATCCTAACAAACTATGGATAACTTTGCAAAGCATGGGTATTTCAAAATCTTCTTTGTGCTCAGGAGGAACCTGTGTATAGATCAAGAGATAGTCAGTCACTAGTAGTGAGCAAAGTGATACTGAAATTTTCAAATCAGGGTTGTATCCTTTCGCCATACTTATTCAATCTGTATGCTGAGCAAATAATCCAAGAAGATGGATTATATGAAGAAGAACATATCAGGATTGGAGGAAGATTCATTAACAATATGTGATATGCAGATGCTTCAACCTTCCTTGCTGGAAATGAAGGTGACTTAAAATACTTACTGATGAAGATCAAAGACCACAGCCTTTAGTCTTAGAAGAAGCATAACTGGAATGTTCCTTAAAATTGAGGCTATTGAGACTTTGTCTCTTGTACTTTGGACATGTCAGGATGGACCAGTCCCTGGAGAATGGCAAGATTGAAGGGTCAGGAAAGAAGAAGAAAACCCCAAATGAGATGGATTGACACAGTGGCAGCAACAATGGACCCAAATATAGCAACAATAGTAGGGTTGCTCCAGGCAGTGTTTCATTCTGTTGGACACAGGGTCACTGTGAGTCAGAACCAACTCAACAGCACCTAACAACAACCAGCTTGCCATTTTTCATGTATCCATATCTTTGGCAATTTTGTTCTCCTTTATTCCTAAAGTTTACATTAATCAGATTGACCACCTAATAAAATCTACTTGGTTAATACAGATTTCAATTAACTTTATCCCCATTTGTAATCTTATCAATATTTCTGTCATAGCATCTATTATGTCATACTGCATTTAAGCAGTTACATACTTCCCTCCCTGTCAAAAATAGAAGCTCGTTGATAACTGGAATATTTGCCTTTACTCATGTTTATATCTGCAACACAGTTCCAGGCGAAGAGTGGAGCTCAATGTTTTTTAGCACATATTACCTTTTCTATCTATAAAGGAGAAAACAGAATAGCATACTTACTGTCTTAACTTGTCAGAGTCAGTTCTGCAGTTTGTACCTTAACTAGTTCACACATGTCTTTTCAGTTTCACTTCTGATTGAATTGAAATGTGTTGCTACAGGGACCAGTGACATTCAAGGACATTACTGTGGAATTCACCCAGGAGGAGTGGCAATTGCTGAGCCCTGCTCAGAAGACTCTGTACAGGGATGTGATGCTGGAGAACTATCGTCACCTAATCTCAGTGGGTGAGAAAAAAATCCCAATATAAAACTCCCAGTAGTTTACAATTTCTTTCCAGTTGCTGGAACATGTGAGGCCCTTATAGAGTTGAATGATAG